GAACTAGGAGAAAGACAAGGGGAGGAGAGTAAAGCACGTGGGACTAGGAAGATTGAGTCAGGGGAGGAATAGATAGATAGATAGATAGATAGATAGATAGATAGATAGATAGATAGAGCACAAAATAGGGAGCCATTATAGGTTTGAAGAGAAAATGACTCTAGAGAAATGTCCAGAGACCTACAAGACTGATCACAACTAACAATCTGAGCAACAGTAGAAAGGCTACCATAAATGCCCTTCCCTGATAATGAGATTGATGACTAGCTTATCCACCATCATAGAGCACTGATCTAGTAGCTGGTGGAAAAAGAAGCAGACACCCACAGCTAAACACTGAGCCGAACTGGAATCCAGATGCAGAGAGTGAGAACAAAACCAGGCTACAGAAACCCACAGAGACAGCTGACCTGACCAAGAAGGAGCCAATGGGCCCCCAGACTGATAGCTGGGAAACCAGCATTGGACTGACTCAGACTCCCTAAACATGGGTCGCCATTACTTCTAATGGCAGTCTAGGGGACCTCTGACAGTGGAACCAGGATGTATTCCTGGTGCACAAAAGGACTTTGGGAGCACATTCCCCCATGGAGGGATACTCCCTTAACCTAGAGGCAGGAGGGAGGGCTTAGACCCTATTCCAAATGACTTGACAGGTTTTGTTGACCCCTCCTGGAAGGCATCACCCTCCCTGTGGAGTGGGGAGGATGGGATGGGAAGGTGTGGAGGGGTAAGGAAGGGAGAGAGGGAGAGAGGGAGGGAAGGAGAGGGAACTGGAACTGATATGCAAAATAAGAATAAATCAATAAATTAATAAGAAAATATTACTTAAGAACCACATGGCAAAGAACAGTGGCTTGCTGCTCTACATACCTATTCTAAATGAAGAAAATAATAAGAGTAGTGAGTCATGATTTGGTGATCAAGACTGTTCAGTTTTTCTACTAGTTTTTATTACTTGTTAGTAAGTGCCACCACAGAATCCACTTCCGTTTAGTAGTTATAAGACAAACAGAGAGAGAGTAATCATTGGTATCGCTACCCCCTAAATGAAATCCTCAGAAACCACTTATATACAACAACCTTCAACTTTCTGCACCAACACACACAGGATGCAGAGGAAAGAAAATGGTATTCAAATAAGGATCTTGGAGATTTAAGTGGAAATGTCTCCTAAGCCAACTAAACCTTTCTATCATCATTCTAGCAATTTCAACAAAAGGTCAATGTTGTTTTATCTTGTTACTGCAATTTATTAAGTTATGTAGATATAGGGTTCAATATACCATTTTCTTCTAAATATAAATTTACAAAGCATTGCAACATAAATTGGTATACTATGTGTGTGTTTTATGTAGTATACATATATACATATGCTACTACATGTCAACATATTAATAATGGGCACAAATAATTCTAAACAAATGAAGGAGTAGAAAGCCAGATGTGGCTGCACAAACCTACAGTAGTCCCAGCACTTCGGCAGTCAAGGTAGGAGGATCATGAGTTTGAGTCTTACCTGGGCTATGTGATGAGTTTCTGTCTCAAAAAAATTAACAGAGTTTAAGTGCAACTAGAAAGAGATAAGAAATAAATTATGAACATAAAGAATTTACTTTCTGTTAACAACTAGAAACTAAATTCTTGCCAGATGGTTCCACCAAGAGAAATGAAATTTAGGCCTGAATTGTCATAATTTCACCTAAAAAATATCAGGTTAGGCTTTCCAAAATGTGCCTATGTCTTCTCTACTTTCCTAGCTGTGAAAAAAGCACATACCCTACTTACTTATGTTCACTTATAGACACAGCATCCCTCCTCTACCCTAGCTCCTCATTTTAGTATCCCCACATATGGGCATGCCCAGGAGGTTCTTCTCAACTTGCAGGACTTACTCATTCTCCTAACATCTAATGTCATATTCAAATTTATGTTGTCATGCATACTAACTGCTTTGAAACACTGTCAGCATATATGTTTTATGGTTACACATAAGTTTACATTTAAGCAGCTTTCACTGCATTATAACTCTGTGACTTAGTAGCTGTGTAACACTGGAGAAGTTGCTTAATCTCATCATTTCTGTAATTCCTTTTCTGAAAGAAACATAATCATGAAATTATTATCAAATATGACATAGTGCCTAAAACAACTTAAGTATTTCTATCTGGGATCCTGTTTTGTTTTGTTTTGTTTTTTTGAAGATGGTTTCTCTGTGTAGCCCTGGTTGTACTGTAACTAGACCAGACTAGCCTCAAACTCACAGAGATCCATCCATCTGCCTTCCTGTGCCTCTCCTGTGCTGGGATTAAAGGTGTGCACCACCAGGCCTATCAGCTATCCTTATTGTTGTTACTATCAAGAATCCACCGCAGCCAGATTGTGATGGCACAAGTCTTTAATCCCAGCCCTTGAAAGACAGAGGAAGGGAGATCGCTGAGTTTGAGGTCAGCCTGATTTACAGAGTAAGTTCTAGGACAGCCAGGGCTACACAGAGAAACCCTGTCCCAAAAACAAACAAAAAAGAATCCACTGAAGTCTAACACATTTGATTTTACTTCTATTGAGAAGCAAGTGCTTCTCCTGAATTCTGGGGTAGAGATAAGTACACATTTTAAAAGTTGTTTTTTAAATTAGGCTGAGAAATACAGGAAGTCTTGGTCTATAGCATTGCTCATTAATGTTGTTCCAGATCACTAGCAGAACAAATAACCACATAATATTGCTGATTTTTATAATATTCAGGAAAAATATGCAAGCAGGTTCAGGGCTTGAGAGATGGGTCAATGGTTAACAGCACTTATTGCTCTTGCAGAGGACCTGGGTTCAGTTCCCAGCATCTATATGGTGGCTCTGAAACATCTGTAACTCCAATTCCAAGGGATCCAACACCCTCTTCTGGTCTCCATGAGCACCAGGCATACACATAGTATATACCTATGCAGGCAAAACACTCAATACATATTGTCAATCCAAAGCCAAGAAACTTAAACACTCATCGGACACATAATAACTTACAGAAATATATCTTTTCAAATTTTTTAGGTTCCGTCAGAACATTTGCCTCCAAATTTCTAAATCATCTGTTAAAAGGACAATTCTTTTGCTATCTTAAAAGAAAATTTTGGTACATCAAACTGAAATTTCCTTTCCCAGATAAATAGCCACCACCTCATTCATCTAAAGTAGTTCTCCTTAAATATCCTCTTTTCATACTATTTTAGGGTTATTTTTAAAAACACAATTGTACTGAAGCAATCATTTATTTTGGTACTATCAAGTTGAAAACTTTGACATTTTCATAAAAATGGAATTAGTGAAACAATGGACAAATCCTTAGTTATCCATGAAAAAAAGCTAAACACAAATACTATAAGTATCTGTCATTTAAATAATCTATCAAAAATCTTAATCCCTCCTAGGGCATTTAGAAATTTAAATCTTAACAAAGAAAGAGGGGGGTGTAACTCTATTACTTGATGAAGTTCTTAAAGCAGTTTCTCCTGGAGTTAACTTCTGGAAGAGAAATAGAAGAGAAAGAAAGCAAAGAACATACAGCAGTGTTGAAACTACATGCCCCCCCCCCACTCAAAAACAAAAAAAAAATACATCTTTGAGAGGTGCAATCTAATAAGGATTAACCAAAGGCATTATTATAGTAGATTAATATTCAATAACTCATGTTTTACTTTGAAATATCAGAATGTTATGTTTGGAGGCCAAAGTGGAGTCCCAAGGAAATAATAAACATTTCAATTTTTTTTTTCAAACAAAATATTCAGTAACTCTTAAGAGTACATTTTCTTATACTTAAAAAAAATACAGTCTAGGCACACCCACACATGTTGGCAAGAGACAAAGTCCAAGGTTCAAGGTGCTGGTGATTTCATGTAACCTTCAGTTCTACTCCAGATCCTCTTAAATGTAAATACAAACAACCCAACAACCCAGGATCTCCACCACTCTGAAGCTAGAGAAGGAGGGTTCTACATTCCAATTCCTGAGCCCACACATATGCTCTTGCCATTGCTGGCCTTTTTTTTTCCCTCCTGGGCTTGCAAGAACAGAGGCTCTTTTATTTAACATGAGTATGCATTCAGCTTTCACCTCAGTTTACCCAATCTTCGGAAGACATGCCAGAAACTCTTATTCTAAATTAACAATTGGCAAATGAAGCAAGGAAGAAAATCATATCCCATGAAGAGGCAGCCACTCAGGTGCCACATGCTCTTTCCCCAGTCTTAAAGTAGTGGGTTTGAAAAGGAAACTCTTGAAGGAAAAGAAAAAGTCAAAATAAGAATCAATGGGAGGGTTGCATGTCCCACACTACGTCAAATAAAAACACCTATACACACCAAAAAAGAAGGAAGAAGAAACAAAAAAACATTTGTATCATTGTTCCTGGCTTTCACCTATTTTCTTTTAATGTTCTATGTCCTGCCTACATGCTCCTATTTTCTTTTAATGTTCTATGCCCTGCCTACATGCTCTCAAAATAATTCCATTTCAGTGGTTTCACAATAATCTCAGTACCTCAGGAGTCTTCCACTCCCTTCCCATCAGTACCCCCATCCTTTACAGAAATGCAGTGCTTCCCCTGAACTCGGTACTTAGAGCATATTTGTTAACTGCCTCACTCCTGATAGTCTGAAAACCACTGTTTTTATTTTATTTTATTTTATTTTAACTTGACTTCACCTAACCGTGAAATCCACAAACCGGTTATCTCTTCACATCTACCTAAACTCGGTAGTTTTCCTTTTCTTTTGGAAACGAAATTTGACACTAATGTCTCAAGGCAAACAAAGCTAACTCCACAGGGGAAAAAAATGAAATCGACGCAACAAAGGAAGAAAGGAAAGGGGGGGGGGCAGTGGGCGATGCTTGCGTTTTCTAAGGAGAAGCTTCCAGTGTAACTTCTGCAATTTAACGGTTCTGGGGCAAGGGGTCTAGTGTGTTGGGAAAAAAAAAAAACAAAGGTGGGCTCCCACTCTCCTTACCGCCGTAGAGCCAGAAGAAGATGCAATATAAACACGGATCACCATCCTGGAAACAAGAGCGTGTGGTCGGTAGCTGGAGTGTTGAAAAGAGCTGAGAAACAGCTGCAGCAATGCTGGAACAGAGCAAGGGGCCAAACAGAGGTTGGACGAGGAGGGTGGGGGAAGGTGGAAGGGGAACTGGCCAGAGCCCCGCCTCCACCAGTGGCTGCTTTCAATGAGCTTCCAGCACTGCAGTCCCAGCCCCAAACCCCGGAAGGCTCAGGCTCATTTGCATCATTTCTAAATTGTTTTTTTTTAAAACACAGAATCTCGAACTGCACCGCGAGATCTGTTAAAACAATTCTTTTTGACTATTCCCTCTCCTGGAAGGGGGCGAGGGAGAAATAAAATAAGGAGTGGGAGGGGGCGGGGATCACTGAACTGCACTCGGTTAGAATAAAGGACCCTTACCATGTACACCAGAAGTTTTGTGTGTTACTTCCTGCTCAGAAATGTAAGCAAATAATGTAGTTGAAAGCCAGCTTTGTGTTGATCCAGACACTAGTTCAGTTTTTTTTTTTTTTAAACCCGCATTATCAAAGCCTTGTGTACTTTAAGACGCCTATAATGAAGTGAGTGATTTTTTAACCTTAGTTGGTTGTAGGAATTCAGTCTGTTCTGAAATGCTGCCCGATGTGGAGGAGGGCTGGAGAGAAGTTTCAAGTTTCCCTAAACCGGAAAGGACATAGCATAGGTTTTCTTTTTGTCTGGGCTTTTGTTAAAATAGGAAAAAATCCTTTAGTGGGAATTTTCAGGAGATATAATCAACAACTCTAGAATGGCAGAGGAAATTGCAGAGAAAAAAAAGTAATCAACAACTCTAGAATGAAGGAGGAAATTGCAGGGGAAAAAAAAGGTCAGAAAATACTTAGAATGAACTTTGTGCCCTTGGTGTCTCATACCTGTAATCTCTGCACTTGGAAGGTGAGACGTGATTGCCAGGAATCAGAAGCTAGGGTATGCTAAAGAGTGAGACTACTAAAAGGTGAAAGCAAACAAAAAGACTTTCTACAAATTCTCAGGTATAGTAAATTAGAGGAATCTAGCTGCCATCCTCATTATCAACATCACAGTTACTGTTAATTTTACTTCCCCAATCACACGACAAGGAAAAATTTTATAACTACAAGTCAAAATCATAACCATGATTTCAAAAATATCTGCAGTTTCTTTTACATTATCGCTACACAGCTTCTCTTTTTTTGGAGTTCTATATTGATTGTTTGGGCTCTTAAAATAATGGAAAAAAGGAACAGAGAAAACAAAATATCCCTGTCTAGTGTATAAACTATTGGATGCAATTAACTATTCCCAGAAAACTGAATAGTGGCATTAGCAGATAATCTGTTTAGGCCTTGTCTATACCTTAGAGAAATGCTGCTGGACATGGAGTTCTCTTATAGATCACACCAAGACCCAAGGTTGGATCTCTAGTACTACAGACACACACACACACACACACAGAGAGAGAGAGAGAGAGAGAGAGAGAGAGAGAGAGAAAATAGACACACACATGCATGCACTTGTGTAATAGATGGTATAATTGTCTGAGTGAAAATGAGCTAATAAATTGTTTTATAAAAAAAATCTGCTGTTTCTTAACGATAAGACTTCTGGTACATTTTTAAGGGAAACTTAACAATATTTCTAAGGTAAGATAATGGATATTACTATATTATTAGAGTTGTTCTTCACTATATTCACTTGTCCTTAAGATGGGCATTCTGGAATGGACAGTCTAAAACGGTCATCTCTGCTTAATTTAATTTGTCCATTAAGAAATCATCTTAGATCACTTTCTTTTATTATTTGGCTGGAAAGATGGCAGTCAGTCTGAATAAACTGAGGCATATCAAAGTTTTCAAATAACACGTGCAATCTATTCCCATTAAAAATAACCGTGACAGCCAATTGTCAATGCATTTGAAAAACTAAAATTAAACCCATACCATGTACAAAAATATAAAATATTGAACAGCATGGCATGTGCCCATAGTCTCTGATTATTTGTGTTTGGGAGTCCCAAGCCAGCATAGGCAACATAATGAGATCTTGTCTCTCAATTGAGCACAGCCCCAGTACCTAAAGATAATGTCTACTGTGTGACATATCAACCTTTCCAGGCAGAGGAGATAGGGCAAGGCACAGGAGTTGAATGTAATGGTAGGGATTTTACATTTTTATTTATTATAAAATGGTATTTTGTAAAATGTACCTACATAAATAAATTTATGGAATTCTCCCATGTTAGAAAATATGATTTCGAATGGTTTTATGTATTTCAGATTTATAGACACACCAAAAGTTTTATAAGCAATTGTCCTGGCTAGTTTTTTTCCCCCACTTGACCTAAGTTAACTTTTTATGGGAAGAGGTACTACAAGTGAAAAAATGCCTTCATCAGATTGCCTGTAGGAAAGTTTGTGGAGTATGTTCTTGATAAACAATTGCTATGGGAAGGCTCAGTCCATTGTGGGTAGTATTTCCCTAGGATGGTGATCACCAGTGCTATAAGTAAGCAGGCTGAACAAGCCAGTAAGCAGCACTCCTCCTTGGTGTCTACATCAGCTCCTGCCTCCAGGTTCCTGCTTTGGCTTCCCTCAATGATGTATTGTTACCTGACAATATAAGATGAAATAAAATCTTTCCTCTATAAGTTGCTTTTGTTCATAATCTTTATCACAATAATAGAAACCTAAGAACAATTCTGTATTATTGAGCATATTGCTTATTTTCAATTATTTTGTAATGTAATGCTGTCATGTGAATCAATAAATGCTTATCTACAGCTCTAAGAATTTCTTTGGAAGAAGCCTCACTCCTGTTGAAAGTTTGCTTCTGGAACTCATATGGAAAGGAGAGAACTGATTCCTAAAAAATTGTCCTTTGATCTCCTCATATACATCATGGCACATGTGTGACCATGCAGACATGAATACCCCTAACACACCCATATCGTGCAAGTCATTCATACATAACAATAATAATTACAATTTTACAAGTTAATTAATGCTAGTAAACTGAATAGACACTGGAGATTACAGTTACAACACTTTATAATGTAAGCCTAGTATCACCAGTGACTAGGATGGGAAAAGACTATTAACTGAAGAACTAACTTATGTTACCCTAGTCATCATGATTGGATTTTGGAGATTTGAGCTCAGTCCTTATGTCTGGGTTGCAGAGAATGATCTGAATACTATACTTTCATATTTATTTGTAGTGTGTTTCTGTGTGTGCATGCACCACTGAAAATGTGTTTGTGAATTCTGGTCTGCACTCACAGGAGGTCTTAGAACAAACTGTGGGAGTTAGTTCTCTTCTGCCACACTGTGTGATCCAGGAATCAAATTTAGGTCAGCAAGTCTACCTGCAAGGGTGGAGGCCTAAGACCTCCTGTATGAGCAGGCCAGAAGGAGGTGATCAGAGGTTATTTAGAGCTTCTTCTGCCAAGGAGGTCAAATGTTGGGATGGAGTAAGAACATAACATTTTCTAGGATGAGCAAGATGGCTCAGTGGGTAAAGGGGTTTTGTTACCAAGACTGATAGCCTGGGTTTGATTCATGGGATTCACATGGTGGAAGAAAAGAACAGACTCCCAACTCCCACTCCCATGATATAGCATGGCATGGTGTGGATGTGTGCTCACATGCACACATATGCACATATACACACAATGACAGAGACACAATAAACAAAGAGTACATGTAAAAGTAGAGAACAAAAGGTTTTCTATCTCAGGGTTTATGTGTGTAAAGATGAATTTCCCTGGAATTTCTAATCATGAGTAAGATATGAAAGTATATAAATGGTCTCTGCTTGAAAAGGAAGATGTGCTATCCTGAAGGGACAATCAGTTCAGACAAGCGTAGGAAGTGCACTCGGGGAAGAAGATTGCATTCAGACTGTTCTATGTAATCAAAACATGCAAACTGAATTTAGATTACAGTAATACCAAACCTTAGGTTAGAAAGGTAGAGAATGACTTATATCAGATATATCAGGGGATGTTTGTGGGAGGAGACCCATGCAGAGTAAGACCTGTTAAAAATGTCTTCTAGCCTCACAAGATGACTCTAAATTTCACTTGCTGGAGTAGATCCCCATGTGTCAATGGTCATGAGCATAGCATCCCCCAAAGTATGCTCTTTAGTCCCTGTCCTGGATTGTTGGAACAATTGTTGTGGACACACTGAGACATGTTCAGTAGTTTCAGCATACAGTGGTGGAATTAGAGGGTACAGAATGTGCTTGTAGGTAATACATTGAATTTTTAAAAGCATCGAAACTGAGAAAGTCTCTCATAAAGTAGGGCTCAATGATCTCTGCAAAATATGATATGTTAAGTTGGCCTAGGGTAAGAACTAGAGGAACCCTCCTATCCGGAGAGTCAATCTCGTGTTCCAATTCCAGTTTGTCAATCCTACTAAAAAGTGTTCTCTCTATTCACTTGGGAATCCACTTCATAATGAGATGACTCCCTTCTAAACTTATCTTTTCCCGGAGAGTACTTCCCTGAGAGTCTCCTTGTGACTACAGCTGTTTTCTCTCTTTCTTTTCTTTTCTTTATTTTCTGTCCATCTCTCTCCCTCCCTCCTTTTTTCTTCTTTTTAAAAATTGCTTCGATAGAGCTGGAGAGATGGCTCAGCACTAAGAGTATTGGCTGTTCTTCCAGATGACATAGGTTCAATTCCCAGCTCACAACATTCTGTAATTCCAGTTGCAGGGGGGGGTCTGATGCCCTCTTCTGGACAACATGGAGCACTGCAAGTCCATGGAGCCCAGAGGTACATGCAAGACACCCAGAAATATAAAATAATAATACCTCAAATTTTTTTGAGGGAAACCTGAACTACATAGGGAAGAGAGTTTGTTTGTTTTTTAGTTATTTTTATTTTATGTATATGAGCATTTTGCCTGCCTGCCTATTTGTTTATTTGTATGTGCACTACCTGCATGCCTTCAGAGCCAACAAGAGGGGATCTGATACTCTGGACTGGAGTCGCAGACCAGTGTGAGCCAAGTGGATGCTGGGAATGGAATTGAACCTTGGTCTTCTGCAATAGCAGCAGTGCTCTTAAACACTAGTCCAACACTCTAGCACATACTCTCTTCAAGGGATGCACTTTCCTGGCCCCCACAGCAACCAGACATGAACATAATGCATAGACATAAGTGCAAACAAAACATCCATACAC